AGAAGAAAACTTTCCCAACCTAAAAAAAGACATGCCAATGAAAGTACAAGAAGCTTACAGAACACCAAATAGAATGACCACAAAAAAACCTTCCCTCAACATATAATAATCAAAACCCCAAACATACAGAATAAAGAAAGAATATTAAGAACAACAACAACAAAGGAAAAAGACCAAATAACATATAAAGGCAAACCTATCAGAATTACACCTGATTTTTCAATGGAAACCCTGAAAGCCAGAAAGTCCTGGATAGATATTCTACCAAAACTAAGAGACCATGGATGCCAGCCCAGACTACTATATTCAGCAAAACAAGATAGTCCATGACAAAACCAGATTTAAACAAAAAATATCCACTAATCCAGACCTACAGAAAGTTCTGGAAGGAACTTTGGGTTGGACTCAACCCAAAGAAGTTAACTACATTCAGAAAAACCTAGGCAACAGATAATCTCACTTTACCAACAGCCAAAAGAAAACAGGGGAGTAAATCCACACACAATTATACCAACAACAATAACTCCAAAACAAACAAGAATGAACAAATCAGTGGTCATCAATATCCCTAAATATTAATGGTCTTAACTCATCTATAAAAAGACACAGGCTAACAGAATGGATAGGAAGACAAAGTCCATCCTTCTGTTGAATACAAGAAATACACCTCAACTTTAAAGACAGACTGTACCTCAGAGTTAAGGGTTCTGAAAAAAATTTTCAATCCAATGGACCCAAGGAATTGACAGCACAACTGAAAGCTCTAGAACAAAAAGAAGCAAACTCACCCAGAAGGAGCAGACACCAGGAAATAATCAAATGAGGGCTAAAATCAATAAAGTAGAAACTAAAAAACAACACAAAAATCAATATAACAAAAAGTTGGTTCTTCGAGAACAACAAGATAGACAAACCATTATCCAAGCTTACCAAATGGCAGAGAATGAACATGCAAATTAACAAAATCAAAAATGAAAAGGGGGACATAGCAACAGACACCAAGGGAATCCAGAGTATATCAAGTCATACTTTGAAAACTTGTTCTCCTCAAAATTTGAAAATCTAAAGGAAACGGAAAATTTTCTGGATAGATATCACTTACAAACATTAAATCGAGAAGAGATAAGTATTTAAATAGACCTGAAACCCCTAATGAAATAGAAGCAGTCATCAAAAGTCTTCTAACCAAGAAAAGCCCAGAGCCAGATGGCTTCAGTGCAGAATTCTACCAAAAATTCAAAGGTTAGCTAATACCAATTCTCCTCAAAGTGCTCCACACAATAGCAGCAGAAGGGTCATTGCCAAACTCTTTTAAGGAGGTTTCAATAACCTCAGTACCCAAGCCACACAAAGACACAACTAAGAAAGAGAACTACAGACCAATATCCCTCATGAACATTGATGCAAAAATAATCAATAAAATATTGGCAAATCGAATCCAAGAACATCCCAGAAAAAGCATCCACCATGATCAAGTAGGCCAGGGAGTCCTGGCATCTAGGGCTGTTGGAAGGATTGAATGATTAATCCTTTTGAGAAATGAATGCACAAAAATAGACAGATATACCAATGGAATCAAATTGAAAACCCTGATATTAACCCACACACCTACAAACACCTGATTTTTGACAAAGAAGCTAAGGTTATCCAATGGATAAAAGAAGGCATCTTCAACAAATGCTGTTGGCATAACTGGATGTTGACATGTAGAAGATTGCAGATAGATCCATATCCTTCACCATGCACAAAACCTAAGTCCAAATGGATCAAAGACTTCAACATAAATCCAGCCACACTGAACTTCTTAGAAGATAAAGTAGGTGGTATCCTTGAACAAATTGGTACAGGAGATCACTTCGTGAACATAACACCAGTAGCATAGACACTGATATCAACAATTAATAAATGAAAAAACTGAAAAACTTTTGTAAGGCAAACAACACAGTCAACAAGACAAAATGGCAGCCCATTGAATGGGAAAAGATATTCATTGAAATACCAACTAACCCAATTAAAAAGTGGGGTACAGAACTAAATAGAGAATTCTCAATGGAGGAATCTAAAATGTCTGAAAGACAAGTACGTGCTCAATATCCTTAGCCATCAGGGAAATGAAACTCAAAAACATCTCTGAGATACCTTCTTACTCCTGTCAGAATGGCCAAAATCAAAACCACCAATGACAGCTTATGGTGGAGAGGATGTGGAGAAACGGAAACACTCTTCCACTGCTGGTGGGAATGTCAACTCATACAACCAGTTTGGAAATCAGTAAGGAGGGTCCTCAGGAAAATGGGCATCAGTTTACCACAAGATCCAGAAATTCCACTCTTAGGCATCTACCCAAAAGATGCACACTCATAAAAGGACATCTGTCTGATGATGTTCATCAAAACATTATTTGTAATATCCAGAACCTGGAAGCAACCTAAATGCCCCTCAATTGAAGAATGGATGGAGAAAATGTAGTACATTTACACAATGGAGTACTACTCAGTGGGGAAAAACAATGGAATCTTGAAATTCGTAAGCAAATGGATGGAACTAGAAGAAACAATCCTGAGTGAGGTAACCCAGACACAAAAAGCCACACATGGTATGTACTCACTCATATATGGATTTTAGACATAGAGCAAAGAAGTAGCAACCTACAATCCATACTGCCAGAGAAGCTAGGAAACAAGGAGGACTCTAAGAGAGACATACATGGTCTCCTGGAGAAGAGGAAAGGGACAAGATCTCCTGAACTAATTGGGAGTATGGGGGCAGGGGAAAGGGAACTAGAAGAAAGAGAAAGAGAGAAGAAGAGGAGAGAGGAGGACAGGAGGGAGAAGAAATGTTGAGAAGGGGGCAGAATAGAGGAGAGCAAGAAAAGAGATACCTTAATAGAGGGAGCCATTATTGGTTTAAAGAGAAATCTGACACTAGGGAAATGTCCAAAGATCTACAAGGATTACCTCAACTAACAAACTAAGCAATGGCGGAGAGGCTACCTTAAATGTCCTTCCCCTATAATGAGATTGATGACTACCTTATATGCTATCCTTGAGCCTTCATTTTTAGTTGAGGGAAGCAGAAGTAGACACCCACAGCTAAACTCTGAGCTGAACTCCTGAAATCCAGTTGCAGAGATCGAGGAGTGATGAGCAAATAGGTCAAGACCATGCTGGAGAAACCCACAGAAACAGCTGACCTGTACAAGGGGGAGCCCATGGATCCCAGGCTGATAGTTGGGAAACCAGCATAGGACTGACCCAGACCCCCTGAGCATGGGTGTCAGTTAGGAGTCCTGGGCAATCTAGGGGGCCTTTGGCAGTGGATCAGTATTTATCCCTAGTCTACAATTGAACTTTGGGAGCCCATTACACATATAGGGATACTCTCTCAGCCTAGACACATGGGAAAGGGCCTAGGCCCTGGGCCAAATGATATGACAGACTTTGAAGATTCTCCCATGGAAGGCCCTCACTCTCCCTTTGGAGCAAAAAGGGGATAGGGGGTTGGTGGGGACAGTGGAAGAGGGGAGGGAGAGGGAACTGGGATTGACATGTAAAACAATCTTGTTTCTAATTTTAATTAAAAATGAAAAAAAGCAGAAAAAGGGGGAAGAAAAGAAAATTTAAGGTATTACCTCAGAGGAGAGAAGTACAAGGCAAAGGTTTTTAAATCAATCCACCCCATGGCTGCCTTGGTAAAAGACACTGAATATTTAGAATGCCAAAAGAAATGATGACATAAAACTTAGTGGAGGCAACTTTGCGAGGTAAGCATAGCCACATTATGTATTAATATGGGTATTAATATGTCTGAGAAACAGAATAGTACATAGTAGAAAAAGCAGCATTGAGTTTGCACAGAAGCAATCTGTAGTCTTCTCATTTAGTTTATCAGTAGCTGAATTTAATGTCAGGAAAAGAGTGCAATTTAGCAATTTATAGAAGTTAGTAACAGGCTACATATTAATTTTGATTTGGCACACATATGTCTTTGTGCAATTTTTAAGTCTTCATAGCAATATCATACCTTCATATGGGGGCAAGTTAGGACAAGTTGATCTTACATGTTAAGGAACTGACAAAACACTTTGACTTCTTAGAATTTTGTGGTGTTGGAAATAAGCAGTAAAATATGACCAATGGGTTCTCAGCTCATTCTAGGTACCACATGGACTGTGTTCTGTTTCTCCTATTGAATATTTTCTTGTGCCCCATTCTTTGCATTCAATGCTCAGGGAATGCCCCCAATGAATTCCAGTAAGTGTTGTTTACGGATGTGGTCTTTCTGATGTCCCATGGCTGAGTTCTGGTTCCTGGGAGGGCAGTCATGGAAATGGGTTGCTTCTCAGAATATAGATTGATATAGAGGTTGCTATAGATGACACTGACATAGACATAGATGGTGATGATAGATAAACACACCCTGAATTCTCCTTGGATGACTGGAGGTCACCAAGAAAGGTAACAGAGACCTGGTGACCTTGTCATAACCGATATGTGAATACTGAGCAGTGGCTAAGTTCAAGAGAAACATGGCAGTGTGGTTAAGTGAAATCTAGGCTCTTCTCTCATGTAATGCTCTTCTCTAAACTTTATGTAGAGTATAACCTGGAGGAAAGCATGCCTTTATTCTGACATGAATCCTTCACATCTTCTTAACTGTTCCCCAGGAGAGCAAATTTCACTGTCTGCCATGGTTCCTATGTGAGGGCTTGGGAAAGAACTACTTGAGACTACTTCCGTGTGTGGCTTTGTTTCTCATGAGGATGTGATGAAAAGTAGAAAACCCTCCAGTATGTTTAGTTAGGAAGCATGCCCTTCATGTTCTTTTTTGCTGGGGTGAGTCAAAAGGCAGTGGTTGAAAGTCGGGTATTTACTGTATATATTAGTACCTGTGTAGGGAAGCATCCATTGCTGTGACAGCAAGCAGACTATTGACTCTGTGGATTTGTTGGGCATTCGCACTGCTTTTCAAAGTCCAGGAAAACATCACAGACACTAGCTATGAAGCTAATATCCATCTTTCTGCTGGTGACCATTGGTATTTTTGGTTATTCTGGTAAGTCAACATTTGGCGTTCTTTGCTTTTCTGTTTCTATTGTAATAACACAACTAATCCTGGCATACTGGTGGTGGAATATGATAAAAGGTATTTCAGAGTCACAGAAAATGTTGCTAAATATTGGAAGATAGTGGAGATCCTTTATCAGTCAATCTAAACCAATGTAATTACTACTTCCAATGCACAGTAGATTAGTGAACTCCTGCTGAGGGTCCACAAAGCCCATTCTGCTATTGGGCAATGGACATCAGTTTTTCTTAATCTTTAATAGATTTTTGAAGATATTCTTGCTGTTATCTCCAATTAGTCAAGTTGTTTGGTGGATTCCCTTGAAACAGTTACATATTTCAGCTACAAAACTCTTGTAGAGGTGCTTACAGTTGGGCACGGAATGAGACTCTACAGAAATTATTGTGCTGCACCCTCTAGTGAGGAATACAGGCAAAGTGCAGTGGGTGTACTGGGAGGTGAAATGTTTCATTTTCTAATAAGGTACAGAGGCTGGCTTCTTAGAAGGCTGAGCCACCCCTTTTAGAGGGAGTCACTGTAACTATTAAAATGAGATGTTTGGGTCCTAAGAAAAACACTTAATGGTAGCCATTGTTTACCAAGGGTAAAAGGTTCAAAGAGTGTTTCCCAGAAAGATATAGACACTCACGGACATGTTTATTGTGACCGGTATGAATATTAGGCACAAGATGCAAAGTGCTACCTGTACTTAAGAGCCTGACCTAAGATCATTGTTTGTATTGGATTTTTTTTAGAAATTTAGCCAATTTTGAATATTTCATTGTTGTGCAGTGTGCAAAGAAAGTTTTTGTAGACAAATATGTCAGAAAGGAGTTTGGATGAAAATAAAGCCACCCTAAGAGTTTGAGAGGGAAGATAGGTGATGGGAGATGGAGGCAGAGTGTGGGCCAGGCTCAGTTTCATAATTTGAATCAGGAAACAAGAATCTTTTAAAAGATAAAATGAACTATGGGAGGTCTTAGTTAGTAAGATTCAGACTCTTATGTGAATGCTCATATATAAGCATGTATTTATGTATCTGCACTGGTTTTCCAAAAATATATCCCATATTTTCTATTGTTTATTTTTTATGCAAAGTCATTTTCTTCCTTTTTTCCTGGAAAATTATAAGCCATTATTTCAAATTTTGATTATTAATTTTTCTGTTGTACAAATTAATGGGCTTTACATGATATGTGCACATATTAATACATCATGAGCTAATTATGTGCAGTTTCTCTTCTCTCCACATGTCCCTTCTATAAGGACCTTGCTCAACCTCTAAAAGTGACTTCCTATTTCTTGCTATCCTCATCCTCTCTGCCCCTTCCTATTGCTAGTGACTACTATTCCTTAAACCAAAGATATAAAGTGCAATTGTCCCATGAAAAATCCCTTCTGTCTTCTGGACAACAGGAAGGTTCCCCTAAGACTGCAAAAGGCAGAGAGAGAGAGAGAGAGAGAGAGAGAAAAGTTCCATAATTATGGGTATGGCATTGAAGGATTTTAAAAATTTTATTTAATGAATTTTTACAGCACCACCCTGTCATCTGGGTATGGCCATACCCACTGAAATTCTGCACTCTGGTTTCCCTCTCTGGACAGATGGCTATACTAAATATGTGTGTGTATACACGCAAACATACATACATATGTGTGTATACATTCTTTTTAACATCTCAATGATTTATTGATCCTGTCTAAGTGCCTTCTTTCTTTAGTTTCATAACTGTTTCTGCTCTAATTGGTGGCAATTATGGTGTGACATTGAACTGAATTGATATTATTGACTGTGATCTAGTCCATCCATGCTTAGCCTTGAATGGAGATGTGTTATGGCCCCTCTCATTTGGCCTGAAAGCTGTGGCTGTGGACAGCATATATACAAAGTGCCTTCTTATCCAATCACCTGTTAGTATCTACTGAACTAGTTTTCAGTACTTTCTTTTATTACATTCCACAGTCAGTTCTGAACATCAGGCATAGCAATAAATGCAAATACCTCAGGGAGTTTCTATTCAAATGAGAGGATTAAGCTGGAAAAATAATACATATGTAATATTGTAGATGACAATAAAAATAAGAGAAAAGAGTGAGAGAAGATGCTGTTCAAATATGACTGCTGCTATAGGCTTCTCTAAGAGATAACATTAAAAAAAAAAAACCAGATGACAGGAGGAAGAAAGGACTATAGTTATCTGGAAAGAGAAAGTTCTAGGGAGATGGGCTGCCACATGCAAAGTTCCAAAGACATAAATATTCATGAAGATGCAAATGAATGGGTCTAGAAACAAGATTGAGATGGGTACAGAAGAAGGTAATGCGTCTCAGACAGGGAAAGGTGTACCATATTTCACTCTGTTCTCCTTTGCTCTGCAGCCACTGCCTTCCTCATCAATAGTGTCCCTCTTCCTGTTGACAAACTACCCTTACCTTTGGACAACATTATTCCCTTATTTGATCCCTTGAAGAAGCTTCTGAAAACCCTGGGAATTTCTGTAGAACATCTGGTGCAAGGACTGAAGAAATGTGTGGATGAACTGGGACCAGAGGCTTCAGAGGCTGTGAAGAAGCTTCTGGTAATTACAACTTGTTTCCTTAGTTACCCAAATGCCCTCTCATTGCTTATAAGTGTATTATTTCTTCTTCATTGATTATACTCATGAAATATGCATATCCCAGAGACTCCAAAAAGCAAAATATCTGCATTTATGGCAATAACACTTGAACAGTACAAGCTGTGACTTTACCTAATTGTACAACTTTGGGATTCTTGGTAAGGCACATTGAGTCTTTGCTTCAACATCAGCAAAAGGTTGTCAAGTAAAGGAGTGAAAGTGGATATTTTTAAAACTAGCTAATTACATGTAAGGTAGGCCTGGCATTTTATCTTTACACTTCTATTTTCCAGGAGGCCCTATCACACCTGGTGTAACATCTGCATAAGTAGTGAAGGTGGGAGTGGACAGCGAAGGATGTGCACATCCCTGATGGCTGAATCTGATTCTACTTTTTGTAGACTGAATGTCCTAAAGTGTAGTGGGGCTAGAAAAGAATGAATAAAGCAATGAAAAGATCTGTGGCTCAGCCTGTATTCATTCTGGAACCTAACTAGACAATTTTTCTCTTGGGTCACAGTCTCTAGAGACTCTGTTATTGGATAGATAGTCTAGCACATGAAGGATATACTCATTACTTTCTGTCATCTGTATCAAATATCTCCACTCCCTACCATTCTTTAAGTAGCGGTATTTCCAGATTCATCATCTTCTTATTCTCTCATTAAAAATTGCATTTAAAAATGAAGAAAATCAAGTAATGTTCATTAAGACTAAGACCATGCTGATACAATGCAACCCCATGATGCCAATTTCTATTATGCCTGGAGCTACATTAAGATCATCCAGTATCTTTAATTGGCCTTGTCTCAAGTTAGGTCTTTATTACATAATCCTTAGGCAAAGCATTTATAAACTATCTATTTCTTCTGCTAAATCTAGTATCTGCAACAACACCAAACTTGCCTTTCCAAGGCAGAACTTTTGCTTATGTTATGATCACCTGAAGAATAGATTTCAAGCTTCTGTTCATGACATATAGGGCTTTTTTCTCATAAGTTTAATCTCATCAGAATCATTTTTATGTGTATACTCCAGTCCCAGACACATAAAACATATCACTGAACCCCTTTGGTGCTAACAGACTATGTAAAATCAAGTTTTTTTCCTATGGAGAATATTACTGTATTCTACATCCTTGGGCCTATGATAGTCTTAGAACCATTTGCTGTCAGACAAATTTCTTCTTCATCTGCTCTGGTTTCTGTTGAAGGAAGAGAGCAAATAGCATGTTGATTGCCACAATTCAGGTTCTGTGGTTCACCAGTCAGTTTACTTTGGGAGGCCCAGAGAGTTGACAGGCATGTAAAATAAAATTGATATGTAAAATCAATAAAAGAAAGAGTAATCTACTGTTAGAGTGGCTCCCTTTGCTTCAGTCTGTCAACATGTCAAAGTTTCTGGGTTCTAGTGGTTAAGACTGCAGTAAACCCAGATTTTGCCAGGAGAAGATTAGAGGGGGTAGCTGGGGATGATGTAAATACACTACACATACATGAAAATTTAAAAGTACATTTAATTTTTGAAAGCTATCTGAAGGTGATACATATCATTTCCAATTATTCTTTCTATTGGCCAAAGTCAGTCATGACTGATCACTGCTAACATATTTTAAAAGAGATACAGTATATAGTTCCTCAATAAGAAGTAAAAGTATCATACACATATGAATACGATATAACATATTTCAGCACACTTCTATTATACTTAGAGATTTGTGCCCTATTTATTTTTCATTTTTCATTTTTCTTTCTCATCTTTCTCATCTACTTTAGTTCTATTTGATCATTAACTTCCATTTTCTTTAAATGGCCCTGTTTTCTGCTTTTTCCCCTACAACTGTCCTAGGATTCTAAACTTGAGTCTTCTCCCATCACTTCATATTGACTCCTAGCTTGCAGTAGACTCTCCTTGTTTTTAACTTTTTGAAATTTATCATTGACTTCAGCTCTTTTTTGAGAAGAGATTTTGTTACTTGTCTGACAACTAACTCCAAAAGATGACCCTCTGAGGTTCAACTCAGTTTTCCTGCATTTAAACTTTTTGTTTTTCAAAGCATAGGACTGACACACCTAGGGATTCACAAAAACTATGACAGTAAGCCCATGACCTGCACACATTCAAACCAGAAACAATCCCAACATAAAAAAGATGACATGGAAACAAGTCTCACTTCTAAACAAGATTTAAAATTGATACATGCTGGAAAAGGGAAATTGTTTTTCACCAGTAGAGTGTCAGTGAGTATATGGTTACATTCCACACAGGCTTCATGCCCAGGATCCCAGGAGACAAGGAGACCATGAGTAGTTTGCTAAAACAAAATTGACTCCACATTGTTGAAGGTTTTTTGTTGTTGCTTGCTTTTTTTGTTTATTTGGTTTTATGTAGTTATTTTGGTTTAGTTTGGTAAGTTCTTTTGTGTGTATTTTTCTTTGTTTTGGCATTTTTTTGTCTTATGGGTTCTTTGTTTGCTTTCATCTTTGTTGTTAGATATTTTATGGAGTCTGAAATTGTGTACATACAGAGGAGGGGAGGATTTTGGAAGGTGCTGAAGAATGGCAAAATATGATCAAAATATGTTGCATGTAAAGAATTTTTTAATAAAAATTTTAAAGTTGTTGATAAGGGTATTTATTTTATTTATTTTTAAATTTTATTTATTTAATTTAGAAACAATTTTATTTTACATTTCAATCCAAGTTCCCTCTCCCTCCCATCCTTCCATGACCCCATCACCCCCATCCTACCCCCCATCCACACCCCAGGGAGGGTGAGGCCTTCCATGGGGCATCATCAAAGTCTGTCACACCATTTGGGGCCGGGCCTAGTCCCTCCTCCATGTATCTGGGCTGAAAGAGTATTCCTCCATGGGGAATGGGCTCCCAAAGTCCATTTGTGTACTAGGCATAAATATTGGTTCCATTCTCAGAGGTCCTATTGACTGCTCAGGCCTCCTAACTGTCACCCACATTCAGAGGGCTTGGTTTGGTCCACTGCTGGTTCCCCATCTTTACAACTGGGGTCCTTGAGCTCTCACTTGGTCAGGTCAGCTGTTTCTGTGGGGTTCTCCAGCAGGGTCTTGATACCGTTGCTCATCCCTTCTCTCTCTCTGCAATTGGATTTCAGGAGTTTGACTCACTGCTTAGCTGTGGGTGTCTTCTGCTTCCATTCCTACTGAATGAAAGCTCTAAGATAGCATATAAAGTAGTCATCAATCTGATTATAGGGGAATGGTATTTAAGGTAGCCTGTCCACTATTGTTTAGATTCTTAGTTGGGGTCATCCTTGTGAATCTCTGGACATTTACCTATTGCCAAATTTCTCTTTAAATCTATAATGGCTCCCTCTATTAAGGTATCTCTATTCTTGCTCTTCTCTATTCTTCCCCTGACTCAGTCTTCCTGATCCCTCATGTACTCCTCTCTCCTCTTCTTCTCTGCCCTGTCTCCTACCTCCTTATCCCCCTTCTCCTCTGCTCCCAATTTGCTCAGGAGCTATTGTCCCTTTACCCTTCTCTGGGGAACCATGTATCTCTCTCTTAGGGTCCTCCTTGTTACCTAGCTCCTCTGTCAGTGTGGATTGTAGTTTGGTAGTGCTTTGCTGTATGTATAATATCCATGTATGAGTGCGTACATACCATGTTTGTCTTTTTGTGACTGGTTTACCTCACTCAGGATGGTTTCCTTTAGTTCCATTCATTTATGTGTGAATTTCAAGATTTCATTGTTTTTATCCACTGAGTAGTACTCCATTGTGTAAATGTACACATTTTCCTTATCCATTCTTCAGTTGAGGGACATCTAGGTTGCTTCCAGGTTCTGGATATTACAAACAATGCTACTATATTCATGAACAGATGTCCTTGTTATGAATGTGCTTCCTTTGGGTATGTGCCCAAGAGTGGAATCGCTGGATCTTAAGGTAGACTGATTCCCATTTTCCTGAGAAACCACCATACTGATTTCCAAATGGCTGTACAAGTTTGCACTCCCAACAGCAATGGAGGAGTGCTCCCCTTTTTCCATATCCTCTCCAGATAAACTGTCATTGGTTCTTTTGATTTTAGCCATTCTGATGGGTGTAAGATGGTATCTCAGTGTTGTTTTGATTTGCATTTCCCTGATGGCTAAAGATGATGAGCACTCACCCATTTTAGATTCCTCTATTGAGAATTCTCTATTTAGCTCTGTACCCCACGTTTTAATTGGATTATTAATGGTTTTGGTGACTAGCTTCTTGAGTTCTTTGTATATTTTGGAAATCAGCCCTCTGTCAGATGTGGAGTTGGTGAGGATCTTTTCCAATTTTGTGGGTTGCCAGTTTGTCTTGCTGACTGTGTCCTTTGCCTTACAAAAGCTTCTCAGTTTCAGGAGGTCCCATTTATTAATTATCAATCTCAGTGTGTGCTACTAGAGTTATATTCATGAAGTGATATTCTGTACCAGTTAGTTCAAAGGTACCTCCTACTTTCTCTTCTAAGAGGTCTAGTGTGGGCTGGATTTATGTTGAAGTCTTTGATCCATTTGGACTTAAGTTTTGTATGTTGTGATCACACAAATACATATTTAGAGGCTTTACTTTGTTCATTTCTTCTGGAATTTGTTGTAATTTTCCTGTGACCAAAGGACTCACAATTCCTATATCATGAAATTAAATTTATATTTTAAAAATATTTTTTAGATTTATTTCTTTTCTTTTAAAAATTAGTTCCTTTTTAGTGATTATAATGTAGTTACACAATTTCCCCCTTCTTTCCCTCCATCCAAGCCTTCCACATACCCATCACTTGCTTTCTTGTCAATTCATGACCATTTTTATTGTTATTACATTCATATATGTATATGTATATGCATATATAGTCATAAATATAAAAATACACTATCCTAATGAAATAAATCAAGCTTAAGTATCATGTTAAGAGGTGGACATAGTGGAATGAAATGAACAATCCCAAATTGGAAATACTATCCACAAGATGGGATTTTAAATGCAAAGACCAATGGCTATCTTTTTGAGAAGGTAATATAGAAGAAAGATTCTAATGAAATTAAGGCAAATCTGCATAGATATCCCATAAGGAAAAATCTTAAATAAGGCTAAAAGAAAATTGCAAGCCTGAAAAAGAACATTATAGAAATACTTTATTATGATAAATCTTTCCGCCAAAAGCCTCTGAGCCCCACTGCCACGGGTGAGCTTTACACTAGCCGCCTGCCCGAGTTAGGCACAAATACATACACAGAAACTTGTATTAGGTTCAAAACTGCTTGGCCAATGACTAGGATTCTTCATCTGTTAGCTCAGTCTCAATTAT